GGTAGGTAGGTAGGTAGGTAGGGAGGTAGGTAGGTAGGTAGGTAGGTAGGCAGGAAGGTAGGTAGGTAGGTAGGTAGGTAGGTAGGTAGGTAGGTAGGTAGGTAGGTAGGTAGGTCGGTATGAGTGTGTGTGTGTGTGTGTGTGTGTGTAGATATACATATATATATATATATATTTATATGTATGTACATATAAGTGGGCAGGCAGGCAGGCAGGCAGGCTTGCGGGCGGGCGCATGTGTGCAGACATACATGCATATATGCATGCATAACGCGTACATACCTATGTACCTACGTGCATGCATGCATAAAGCACAACATACCACATAGCATAACTTAGCGAGAAATAACATATCAGAGCACAGCATAACATAACATAAGCGACATAACCGACACAACCTTCATAAGCTGCTATAAGACAATACAGCACAACTCGCCAACACACGACACATGATGTATATCACAGTTCTCAGATCGCATGTAGTGCATAACAAACATAACATATGGCCATCCGTCCACCCATGCATCCATCCGTTGATCCATGCAGGCATAACATAACAAAGCATGACATAGCACAACATGACATGACATAGCAACACATAACATACCTTGGCATAGCAGAACAAAGCATGAGATGACATATCATGACACAGCATAACATAGCATACTGTATCATGACACAACATCACATGGCAAGAATCATACAGTATCATGACATGAATTCAAAAACAAGTCACATATAACATCCAGCACACTACACCAGCATGCGCAACACACATGCATGCAGGTGCACTTGCTATCTCAATCAAAACAGGCAAGACACACACGTGCGCACACACGCACACATGCACGTACCCATGCACGTGCGCATGCACGAGATCATTACATCAGCCAAACCCCCTCTGCCACTGTGCATGTGCAAGTGTTCTTCGGTTCCGGAACTAGTACGGAAACAAAGCATGCTCGTGCTTGGGGTAAGAGCTGCACCTCCCCTTATCAAGCCTCTAAGAAGCTTTCGTAGTATATAATTAAGAACGCATGCATGTTTCGAAACCATCTACATGCACCCGAAGGCTTTTAGGATTGCTCAAGTGTCCCGCCTTGTAGCCTTCGGTGCCTTCGACCACACGCAGCGACACTTTGCCGTGGCCGAAGCCGAACTGCGCCAGCTCGGAGTGCGCACGTTGAAGTCAGTTACATAACTCCATTCACCGCTATCATAGGTAAATAGATAGACAGACAGCTAGATGGACAGATAGGTAGATTGATTGATTGACTCATTGATTGAGAAACAAACCGAAAGACCGGCAGACAGGACAGACGGCCTGGGTGACAAATACATACACGTACGTACATAAGTACGTATACATACATGTACATGTGTGTGTATATACACAAATCGAAATAAAGCAAGCAAGGAAGGAATGAAGAAATAGATAGAGAGAGACAGAGACAGAGAGCAGAAACAGAGACAGAGACAGAGACAGCAACTCACAGACTGCTGTTATCACTGCCAGTAGCAGCCGTTTCAGCCAGTAGGTATACACGTTGTCCTACGATGATCAGGTCTGGTACATTACTGTCCAAGCAACAGCACATCATGCCATAAGCATACTTCAATTACACGTGCGACTCGTACTTTCTCCAAGGTTGGGGGGTCTGAGTTTACCACTCCTCCGAAGCTGTAGGATGCATGCTTGGGCCGCCGAAGTAATGAGAAGAGGGCTTCGTACTCGGACGTGCTTTTAGTCGCTGAGGCTTCTAGATGCAACGAACCACCAAGTCTAAAACAGCCTATCCTAGGTGGACAGACGTTAGGCCGCCCCAGACATCCTCGCTAAATCGAAATCTGAAAACTCTGAAACCGAGACTACTGAACCTGGGTTTTGATTCACGTACTGTGATGGTCCCAGAGGGAACCCTGATATGGGAGTTTCTGAAAATAGGGGGTACATTATTTGGGGTCCTTATAATAGGGATCCTACTATTTAGGGTACTATTATTACGGTCCCCTGTGTTCGGAAACCCCCATATGGAGAACCACACGTATCGATTTGCCAGGCTGAAGGCGCAGTACACAGACCATCCGACTATCCACTCCCTGTCGACCTTGCTGACATACTGCGAGAAGGCGTTCCTTGGAGTTTGCAGTCCACAGCGTTTGCATCATTGGGAGTAAAAAATCGCACAAGCCCCTTAGCGAACACATCAGCCTTTGCAGCTGCTCAAGTACGCAGAAAAGCTGCTTGATTTAGCATCTCCTAAGCAGCGCACTGAGCACCCAAGACCGGATCTCTCGGAACTTGAATGTCCCATTGCGATTTGCAGGGCTACAGGTCTTCGGGGCATAGGTCCTCAGAGTGCTGGGCCCGCACCCTTGCGAAAGTCCCTTTGGCGTGCAGCGCCCCGGTGTGGATGAAATGATTGGGGCTGAGGGCTTGATAGCGAAAGGACCCGTTTGCTGCAAGTGTTGAGGCCTTGGCGGAGGCCTTAGCGCCTACCTGTTGGTTTCAAAGTCTGTGCGGAGCTGTGAACGAATCCAAGAGCAGCATGTTGACAAACGCAACCAGAAACAACAATCAACTCGGCTTTTTGCTTGCACCTGGCGTCGGGAACTATTTTTGAGACAGTTGCTGCACAACTGCAGCCACAAAACTTCGGCAAAGCCGCATGATCTAGATGAACCTAGCAGGCTACAAACCTCATTTATGAGGCCTTCCAGCGCTGATGGCAATCTCCCGAGGGATGCCCTGCACTGTCACGCTGGTCGTGGGGAAGGGACAGCAAGCATTTGCTTGGTTCCAAGAAAAAAAGCATGACTCTGGACCACTCCCTGCATTTGGGGATGACTGCACATAGCTTTGAAATAGTCTGCCAATGTGCACGCAGTGGGACGAGTATCGACTGAGGCCCGCTAAAACCTGGGACTCACTCTTGTAGTAGACAATATGCAAAACATCTTCATCGATATCGGACTGGGCCTTGGCAGGCTTGACTAACTTGCTGCTGTAAAAGACTACCGTCGCTCACATCCCAGCTTTGCATCTCCATTCATCAGGACATCCAGATGGGCTAGCTCAACGGCACCGGGCACTCCAGTCCGTGATTGGCCGGGCGAACCCTGAAAAGTGGAATTCTCGCAAAGCATGGAAAGGTCAGGTGTCCATCATGCACTTGGCTTGCCGAGCACTGAGGACTTGAGTCTTCAGCCGATGAACCACCAGCTGATGTGAGCCGTGTCTGTCTGCACGAAGCGCAACATCCAACGCCGTCTGTTTTGATGAGTTCTTCCTTTTCAGCTTAGCACCAGCTTTGATGAGAAGGTCCACAATCTCATGATGACCTAGCTCTGCAGCGACGTGAAGAGGGAAGACATGCTGGGCTCCGCAGGGCGTCCAGAAGATCCGTGGGGTGTTGACATCCTCCGAGAAGCCCTGCGACGCAAGAAAGTCTCGCAATCTGCTGTTGCTTCGACCTTCGATCTCACTGCGCTTCGACCTCGCCCGCTCCGTACCAAGCGCAGCATCGGTGCACTCTGCGGGCTTCAGAGCCCCAAGTTTTGGAGCCTCCTCCAAGTAGTCCGCTGCCGCGAACGGTATCTGGGTGGGGGCGATCTGACCCAGCTTGAACATCTTGGCAACCAACTTTCCAGGCCTGAGCCTGAACGAGACTCACGCTTTAAGTAATGGAAAATGGCTGCAGGCGCACGAGGAATGTGGAAGTTGGTGGGCAGAAACGCAAACAAGTTCAGCCCTCCAGACTGAGCCCCAAAACAGGCCCTTTTCGCGTCTGTGTGTCCGAGTGGCTCGAAGTCCAGGGGCACCCAACTCATGGGATCATTCAGCGACAGCTGCTGCCTCGGCAAGGGCGCCAGGGTGGGGCTTATTGAGGTCGGGTGTCGGGTTGAGGAATGTTGGGGGGCCTTTGTCACTTCAGGGTTGCAAGTTTCTGCATGATGTTTGCAAACTCAGTGTATCGTTCAGGCGCGGAACTCCAGGACTCCAGAGTTGGGGACTTCCAAGGACTCTCGGATTCAGGACTTCCTAAACTTGCGGAACACAGGCTCAGGACGGACTGTCGAGGCCATGACGACCAGGTCTAAACTTTAGGGCAGGCAGGTTGCAATGCCTTAGAATAGCAAAGCCATGCAAGCAGAGCAAAAAAACGGCAGTGCGTGTGCGACCACTATGTCTGTGGACTTGTTGTCAATGCTTGGCCGGCGGTCGACCTAAGCCTGCAGGCTCACCCACCCGGTGAGGCACAGTGAGGCTCGCACCCTTGCACAGCTGAGAAGTGGAGATCATGGCAGAATTGCTCAATGAGGGCAATCTGCAACATTGATGGTAGAACATCAGCCTCCTAACCAAGAAACCACGGCTTACACGATCCTCGGGTTTGGGTGTTCATGGGATTTGTTCTCCGTCCTACAGCCCTGCTTCGTGCAACACTCGGCTATTCACTATACGTCCAAGAATGAGGCATGCAGGAAGCAGAGCTCCCGGCGCATGGGCATATTCCGAAGTCGACTGAAGGTTCTTCTTCTGCATCTGGACGACCTGCATACATCTGCATCTAGGGCTTGTCTATGCAATTGGGCATATCCTTGTGTGATCTCAGATGCTGAAGATGGACCCGTGTGCCACCAGATTTCATTTTCGGGTTGCAGTTAGCATCTGCAACATCCAAGCTTTCGAAATGACGGATGGAGTACATAGTGGCTAGCGGTTAGCTCATCAAGGGGCGCGAGGTACACAAACAGGGGATCAAAATCGTGGAAATCCTGCATCGAATGCCTTGCTATGTTGCAGTTGAGTGTGGAATCTTCGGGCGTCGAAACTCCCCAGACCGTAAGTGAGTACGATGCGGTGCACAGAAATCAGATGGGTGCCGGCGCGAAGCGCCGCCGCACCTCCCACTGTGGTGTGAAGCAGGCTTCAACAACGGTGTCCCACAACAGTTCCAGTGCGTGCGAAGCCTTGAGAACCAACAAGTTCCCATCATGAGCTGTTTCTCGCCAGTTCCGGCTTCCGCGGTTCGTATCATGCTCCAGAGTCTTTTGCCTTTCGAGGCGTCCACAGCATGCAAAGCTGCTAAAGCACGACTGCATCCATGGCTGCGGCTGCTCTCGGAGGCATTCGCTTGCACGCGGTGGATCTTCCAGGGAGCCAAGCCAAGCTAATTTTATTGCATCGGTGCATCTTCGAACCCGTTATCTCCCCCCAAGTCGCGTTCGCGCGTTTGGCACTTTCGAAGAAACGGCGCATGGCCGATGCTCGCGAAGTTCAAAGCTGTCGTCGCAATGCGCTGCTGATGCTCTTCTACTCTCGCCAAAGTAGTTGGCCTCCCTCAATTCTTGAACTACGCAACTATAGTTTAATGTCCAACTATTGACGGTCTAGACCCGACAGATAAAATCACAGAGTCGCTAGAAGCCCCCGAAAGCCGGCAGCCTTGCTCGACGGAACATGAGCCATGACCAAGTAGCGATGGTTCATCTCAATGTCTGAAAACCTGCGACACAAGGTCAGGTTTCCGCGGCATCGCCCAACAATCTTGGCAATCCAAAGTGATGCGCAGTAAGAAGAACAATATTACAGCATATCATATCAATCAGGGACACAGTAACAGCGGCCATGGCAACGAGGACTACCAACATAACTGCAACATCGTTCGTCAACCGACAAAATCTCTGGAACCCTGACTCCTGCTGAAGCCTGAGACCTGAGAAAGCAAAAGCTTAAAAAGGGCAAGCTGGCGCACTTTGTTGCGACATCCGCATCGCCGCGGTTTCGCCAGAACCTGGTCAAGAGAGGGTGCAAAGGTAAAGGCGGGCCTCGATTTCGGATCAACTTCTTCAGATTGGAATTTCAGGGATGCACCTTGCCTTTCGAGTTTATCCACACAGATGGCATGGGTTCCTCTCTGCTTTCCTATGTGTAATGCTTGCGTAAGACGCCTGCAGCACAAGAAGTATCCCAAACCTTAAAACACTACTTTGTGATTTCTGACACCCTCAGCTGCATGATGGACGAATTCCTCGGCCCTGCAGGTACTTTCGGCACTTGATGTGGCTAAACGCACCATGTTTTGCGCGTTCCATTTTTCGCAGCAGCCCAAAACGCCGTGCTGAAATCTGAAGATTGCGTTCAATCTGATTGGCATGAAACACCAGCCCTCCTACATGCGTGCGACCAAGTAGTAGTAGCAGCAGTAGTAGCAGTAGTAGCAGTAGTAGCAGTAGTAGCAGTAGTAGCAGTAGTAGTAGTAGTAGTAGTAGTAGTAGTAGGAACAGAGGCAGGAGCGCGAGCGGTAGCAGTAGCAACAGCAGCAGCAGCAGCTGTAGCAGTAGGAGGAGGAGGAGGACGAGGAGCAAGGAACGCAGTCGCAATAAGCATGACAGCACAGTAAAACCCCCCGTAACCTTTGCTCGCCACAAGAAGCACTAGAGAAATAACCCTAAACCCTAAACCCTAAGATATTGCCGAGGCGAAGGCTCCGACTCCCTGCGGCACGCATCTGAGAGCTTCTCCTGCGCACAGGACAGCTGCACATGTAGGGGCCTTAATAAATAGAATAGGGCTTTGGGGTAGTTTATACTATGACTACAATAAGGAACCCCCAAAGTAGTATAGGTAATGATTGAGGCACCTATATACGTAAACTCGAATCTCCAGATCTGAAGTCCTCAACACCTAGCATAAATTAACAATGCATGTGTGCCTTTTCTTTCCCGCCGAGCCAAAGGAATCCGAAAAGGCCCTACCAATTGTTGGCTGTCACCTGGGTCTTCTCATGTCCTTGCACTGGTGGGGAAGAAATCGATAAACGTCATGACAGGCTGTGACGGCTATGAGATGTTCTGCACTGCATCAACTTTGAAGCCTACAGGACCCCAAACCCTTGATTGCTTGGGAATTCGGATGTCACCTCCCCTGCAATGGCTGAGCCTATGACTCATGATGCCCTGGATTCTTCTTGGATGTGGGCCTTGAAGTCCCGGATGGTGTCGGTCAAGAACACTGGCACTGAGTGGTTGGTGCCTGCTCGGCGTGCTCAGGGTTTTCGCTGCTTGATGGGGAATGGAGGCCACTGCAGCTTTTCCGAGGTCTCAACTCTGACCCAATGTGGATGTCAGAAGACAGTAAAATAAGAGCTCAATAATTACCTATACTATTTGGGGGGGTTCCTTATTATAGTTATAGTATAAACCACCCCAAAACCCTATTCTATTATTACCTATACTATTTTGGGGGGTTCCTCATTATAGCTATAGTATAAACTACCCCAAAAACCCTATGCATGGGACTCTGCCCAGAGCAGGCTGCAGGTTCCTCTTCACTGCCACGGCGAGATTCCTGGAGGCTTCAAAGTCTCTCGAGATTCCACTACTATTTTGGGGGTTCCTTCTTATAGTTAGAGTATAACCTACCCCAAGTGCACCATCTGGGAAGCTCCCGAAGCCCCCGACAGCTAAACCCTCTCGAGGTTGGCCTTCCACTGCCTCAGCGGCTGCTGACCTGGGCGCAACAAGGCATCATCGTCGGAAAGAGTAGTAGCTTCGGGTTTAGTTGGGGAGTCTGGCCTTGAATTTCCAGTGAACACGGCCCGCTAGCATCAGGCTTTGCCACTTAAGGCGACGGTGTGGTCTTCGGAATTGAGAGGCCCCCATCCGCAAGCACCACAAGTGACATCCTACGAATGTTTCAGGGGCTTTGTCCCAGAAACCTTCAAGGCTTGAGGTATCAGAACATTCCCTTGACAAACCTCAAGTTATTCTTGATCCTGCCAGGGCACTGAGCCGCAGTCGCGCTGACTCCGAACTCAATCTTGAGGCCTTTTGCCTGCATTCTGCATGTATACACATGCATGCTTATCTGCACAGCCTTCCCCATTGGCCTGCATCAGGATATTTAGCTTCCGGTTGCTACTGACTACGGTATTCGCGATGAACAGCCCTGCGTGGCGTTGGTAGTTGCATATGACAGATCGCAAATCTCTGGCCGCCTGTTGGCAATAAAGAAGGACAGTGATGGTGATGATAATGCTGATGATGAGACTGATGGTGAAGCAAAATGATGATAATAGCTCTCAGTCTTGACCTTGGGACGCCCACGGCTGGCCTGCAACCGTTGACTTCGCCTCTCTTAAAACCATACTTCTTCCAGGGCAGGGGACTGGGGGTCTAATGGCAAGCCTGTAAGCTAAGGGGACTCAAGTGCTTTTGACGCCTTCAGCCCAAACCCTGAACCCGTCAAAACAGGGCTCCCAAAGCTCGAGCTCTTGGGCCGCGCACCCCAAAGCGCTTGAGGGCTGCCAGGTTCCTCGAGACTGGTGGCGTCTGTCTGTGCATGTAATGTTTTTTGCTTGTGCTTTTTTTTTGGGGGGGGGGGGNNCGGGGGGGGGGGGGGAGACGGAAGAAGTATACACTAAACAAAAGGAATTCTGCGGAGTGGGGAGTTGAGAACTTGGGGACTTCTTCCTGGTGTGGATTGGATTGAACGGTAAGAGCTCGGATTCAGAGCTTAAGGCCCCATCGGCTTCAGGTTAGGTTAGGCCTTTGGAAGCCACTCGTCAACCTTCGAGAATCTGAGAATCCGCAGCAAACCATTCGAAAGAGATTGAACAAAAGCAAACGCATTTCAAACTGAGGGACCGAAGAATTGTTCAAAAGCTTTGAGAAAGAGGGGCAAACCACTCCAAAGGGAGTACTAGCAGCAATTTTTTTGCTACGGGAATAACTCGCTGGCTCAGGAGGGATTCCGAGCCCGCGACCGCTGATCTTGCCTCTTCCGCTGGGTGGCACGGGTCGTGAGGAGCTGACCGGCCTGCTTGCCGAAGGGCTTCAAGTCTGGTTTCAGGGTTCGCAGTCATCACCACCGTGATCACGACCATGATCCGTGAAGCAGCTGGACATCCCCTACACAATATCATGAAACCGCATGACATGCTGAGATAGAAATCACGCAGAAGCATCTCTACTGTAACCAGCCTCTCCAAAATCACCTCGCAGTAAGAAGTCCCACAACAAGAACCATGCCACACGCACACGGTATTCCCGCCTGCGCCTGCCAGCCTTCAGGAGGTGGCTTCCGCTGCGCCTGCACATGCGCAGGGTCCCTGAAACATCCTCTAAGCTTGGGCGCTCAGAGGTGCTTTGTAGATTCATGGGGTGCTTTGTTCGTTTTGCAACAAAGTATGATGACGGTCTCTTCGGTTCGAAATTATGCTCGGAATTTCGACAGCGCTAGCCACTCCAAGAAGCATGACAACGCAGAACGCTCTCTTGCTTGAGTGAGACGTTGCACATAGCCTAGCCACGAAAGAACACTTTGATGCTGAGCCTAAACATCAAGTCCTAAGCTGTGCAGCTATGCGCTAAGTTACGGGCCGACCCGTACATAAGCCTGTGAGTCGCATCGGCCGTGTCCGAGGTGGCTGTAGGTCAGTTGTCTTATGGGCGGCGTAGGGAGGGGTGCAGCCGTGTAGCAGTGCAGTTGCAACACAATGCCGGGTGAGTGTACAAAAAGAAGGGCAAAAACATGGCAAAGCAAGATACGGAAGCCTCCACCTCTGCCTTACGGAACGACATCTGGGCTTCCCGCACCTGAGGAGCCTGAAACCTCCATTGAAAGGCCGAAGTGTGCTACTGGCATCATAACATCGTCTCTGGCATTAAGGAACCATACCTCGAAAGCCCAGGTTACTTTGAAGCGGCGCTGGCTTTTTTCGCTGCTTGAACGTGGCGCTTCGGCTGCTTCTTCGCCGTTTGGAGCTTAAGGGTTCGGGTGGAGACTCTACAAAGGCAGGACTTCTCAACCTAACAGATATGGAGACCCATGAGTCTTGACCCTTTCGCCTGACGGCTTTTTCTCTATTCGCCATCGGCACCTGAAAACTCAAAACCTTTTATCCTGGGGTTGCGGATCGGCTTACAGCAGTAAGTCCTAGAGTGCCAGAGCTCAGAAAACACCAGATCTCCCTGGTGCAGTGCGAGAATACTTACATCTTGTATACATGTTTGGACGTACGGAACATTACAGATGTCATAAATTACACCACGGACCATTTCATATAGTATAAACAAGTCTTGATACACTATATGCGGCGTAATAACACAGGCCTCTCAACCCCACCGAGCCGAGAGTCCGAGAGTACAAGGTCCTATGTGCCTAATATTTGGGCCTTAATAATTAGAATAAGATTTTGGGGCCCAATTTACTATATTTATCATAAGGAACCCCAAAAATAATAATACCATCTTCTCTGGCTGCTTGCAGGCTGTAGGGTTGTGGGCTTGGGGCTTAGGGCTTACGTTTAATCTCAAGTTTAGGGCTCGTAACTGGCAAGTCCATCTGGGAAGCAGCGTCGCTAATTAAGACAGAACGTCGCTGCAGAACCTGCAATAGCTTTGTACAACCGTGCGCGCAAAGCCGCGAGTGGCGCAGTCAGCGCTTTTGTCGGAATCCGTAGTCAGTATTCCACATCCACATATTGTCGACATGAGCTTCGGGCTTTAGAAACCATTGCCGAACAGTCACCTCTTTTTGAAACCGTTGCAGGGAACTTTATTGTCACGCCTGCCGAACCTTCTCCTTCTCACGAGCCGTCGGTTCCACGTATGGAGATTTGCGCTGGAGCCGATTTAGGGTTTCGGGCCTGGCTTTGGTTGAATGTTGTTTGGGGCTCATAGTCTTTGGCTCTGAGTGGTCGATGGGTGTTTGGCTTCCAGTTCGGTCGGATCTCAAAGGAAGCTGAGTGCAGCAGTAAATGCTACGAGATAACATATAGTTGGATATGATGTAGTGATCTTCTGAATCTATATGTGGATTGATTTGCAAAATGGCAGAATAACTCGGTCTCGAGGATGGACATGGACAAGCACAAAATCTAGCCACGATCGCTGGTATGCGATTGCCCACTCAAGGCTTTGGCTGCGCATGCGGTGGAAAAGTCTGGAGCAGCAGTGCCAGCAGCTCTTTCAATGCAAGGGTTGACGTGGAATTCCTTTTCTGACTTCAACAGCACAAGGGAAGAAGTCCTAGTCATGACAGCAAGCTGAAAAACAGCAGATGTGATCCGGATGCCAACAGCGACCAAAATGACCGTCGTACAACGGCAGTAAGAAGAAGGACCACAATCATCACTCCAAAAAGGCACCTTGTATCCGCTTGTGCTCATTATCGCCCATTGTGACATTGTGCCTCGAGGCTGTAGGGTTTGCACTCTTTCGGTGATTGAGAACTCCGAGCCACCACCACTGCACGCCTCGCAGAAGGTATGAGATTCGGGCATCCGCAGAGCTCTCGGAGCAGAGTGAATTAGACGATGGGTGGTCCAGGGCTGCGGATTTGGGCGCAGCAGCTACTGCGACTTCCGTCATTGCTTACTAAGATTTACTAAGACGTGAGATAGGTGAACGGTATTTTCCGGCTTTGGCATGAACAACGGCCACTGGCGGATCTCTTCATACCGACACAGGACCACTTGTTCAGATCGCGGCACAGGTTCGATCATGCGACCCCACAGCTCATCACAGGGACCAGTCAAGCAAGAATAGGAGACAAACGTCAAGCTGCGAGGAGGCAACGAAGCAAATGATGTCTTCCCAGAAAGCACCACACGGAAACCGAATCCAGAAAGCCATCGTAGCGATTCATTGGCACACTGCTGCACTCCCGACGAGCACCTGTGCTGTTCAAGACTGCCGGATCAACATTCCTTCGTGCTCTATGGTTGTGTTCCGAGGAGATGCATGTGCTGCATCCTGGGACTTCCCCAAAAGTCGCTCGCTGTGGCTGCTCTGCGGGTGCTGCACGAGCAGGGCATCTGTACAACTTGCAAGGCTTGGCTGCTCCGCTGGGTTCTTGCAGCATCTGATGCAGTGTCAGACCGCACAGAAGGCAAGCCGCGCCCCGCTGCTTCCATCTGAAGTCCTGAATGTGGTTCACTGGATGCCTCCATCGCCTGCAGGTTTATGGGCCCCAACGTTTGGGTTGAAAACTGTCGCTCAACCGGTGTGCAGCCTGACAGAGTTTGCTCTGAAAGTGACTAAAGCAGCGCTTTCGGGGCTTCCTGCTAGAACTACATACTGGCTGCAACCGACCATTATTTTGTGTTGAAGCTCCCGTATATCGTGGGAAGCTGTCCCAATGAGGGCACACCCTATCAGTTGTGGCAAGGGGGCGGGCGGCTGGACAGCACGTCGTGATTCCTCAGTCAACCTCAGAAGCCGCAGCTCCGCTTCGTAGGAGCCAGGATGGCCCGCTGGCACCTGCACAAGGGAGGCTCATCTCGACAATCCCAAATGCTAGCGCAAGATAAAAGGACGTCTAGAAAGCAGGTCAACTCAACATGAGAAAATCCAAACACCTTCAGCCAAACGACTAAGAACCTCCTTTGCCACAGCAACTTGAGCACGCTTCCCCTTCCACGCCTGCTGCTGTGGACCCAAGGGCGAAAGCTGCAGGCCGTGCGGGTGGGGTGGCGCGGCTCCGACGTCGCACGGCGGCCACGGCCTGCGAGATACGGAATCCTGTCTTACAAGCGTGCTTGCAGACTTGCGCTGCGCACACCAGGTTCACGAGCTTCAGCCCCTGGCATGAGGTTCGTGCCGTGTTCGTCTTGCGATCTCATCACTTCCCAAGCTCTTCAAGAGGTAGAATTTACCGAAAAGACATGCAACCGTATCCTTCCCCAAAAATCACCATGCCTCAAGCTGCATTGCCAAGAAGAGCTTTGTCGAATGTCGAGCCAGTGTATAGCATGGGACTATATTCTATACCCTTTGGCGAATTTTATCAAGTGCCCCCTTAGTCTTTTCGAAAGGGGCCCTAAACCCTAAACCCAAAACCCTAAACCCAAAACCCTAAACCCTAAACCCTAAACCCCAAACCCTGAACCCTAAACCCCAAAACCCAAAACCCAAAACCCCTAAACCCCTTAGCCCTTTCCAAAGG